TCAGCGCACCAGGGCCAGGTGCTCTGGGGCAGCAGGTTTTGCTGTCCCCATTTCAGCAGGTTTCAGGTCCTAAACTTAGCGCCTTCATGGGAACTGAGATTTGTGGTGGGGGCGGGGGCAGGGCAGGGGCAGGGCAGGGCTGGGCTAGGGCTGCATCTGCTGATGCAGCTTTCCCACCCAAGTGCTACGTGGAAAGCAGATCAGACCTGACGGCCAGGAGAGCAGAGGGCCACACTCTGTGCTGTCCCTGGTGCATTGGGCAAGTCATTGGACCCTGGGGCCTCAGTTTCCTCAACTAGAAAAAGGAACAGAAGGATTAAGGGATTTAGCTGAGCCCACGCAGCTAGGGAGTGATTTGAGTCATCTTTTTACCTCAAGGTGAATTCTTTATCTTCAGATAAAGAAGGTGAAAGCCTTAGTTCTATGATTGAGAAGCAGACTGTCTAGGTTCAAATCCTAGTTACATCACTTATTAGCTGTGTGACCTCAGACAAATTACTTACTGTCTCTGTGCCTCAGATTTTCTCCTCTTCTCGATGGGAGATAATTATACCTTCATGGGGTTGTTATGAGAATCAAATGAATTAATATTTGTAAGGCATTTTCAAAAATCCCTGATACCTAGTAAAATTTATTTGTGTTCGCTAAATTTATAAAATAGCCCCCCCTGCCATGCAGAGAACATTTTGGATTAAGACCAGGAGACTCATGTTCCACTTTGGGCTCATTGCCAATTTGCTCCGTGACCTTAGAAGCTTCCTTTAACCTCCCCGCGCCTTAGCTTGCTTGGGTTGCCAAATATGAAGCTTGGACACGTTCATTGATGAGCAGCATTTTCTGAACAAAAACCAAGTCAGGGGAAGAGAAAATCTTTTTTGGCCGTGTTTTATTACCTGAATCCATAGGGGAGAATGTTCCAGAATACTTAGGGGTCCACCCCTGGGCCCTGGGGCAGTGGTCTGGGTGATGTATGTGACTGTGCGGGGGGGGTTGGGAACTCACCCAACCACGCTGTTCTCCCAGGAGCCCGGGACCTGACAGTGGGACCAAGCCACAGTGCAGCTGGTGTCTTACAGGTGGCTTTCCAGGAGAAAAGTTCGGCTAGGCTGGCCACAGGGCTCTGGTTCCTGCCCTTTCTGAGGCTTGGTTCTCTGGTTTTCCTAAGAAACCCGCTTTCCTTCACATATCCCCCTCCCCCACTTACTTAGGCTAATGTACCAGCTATCTATTGCTGTGTAATCATTACCCCACCAAGTAGAGGCTCAAAACCAATTCCTTGTTTCTCTAGATTCTGTGGGCTGATCAGGTGGCTCTTCTGCAGCCTTCACCCTGGTCCTTCCCACACCCAACTCTTCTGCCTCCCCAGGGCCTCTGCATGGACTGCAGCCTGTGCCTGGGATGCCCTGTCCCTGACTCTGCTCAGGATGGCTCCTTGCTTCCCTGGAGTCCGGGGTTAACACTGTGTTCTGAGAGGCCGCCTCTGACTGTTCCATCTGGGGAAGGTGCCCTCTGCTGTTCTCCATCTCGGCTTTTCCTTGATGGTCCTTGTCACAGCATCATTTGTTTGCTTTTAGTTTTTGCCACTGTTGGTCTCCCTGGAGCTGGGCTCACAGTGAACAGTTGGGACAGAGACTGTTGCCTGTTGATGTGGAAACTAGCCAGACCCGTGGGATTCTGGGAACTATCCCGAACACTGATTCACATCCATGTCGTGTGGCAGGAAGGACAAGAGCTATCCCCATAACTCAGATAGGGAAAGTGAGGTGCAGAGAGGCTAGGGGGCCTGGCCCAGGCCATCTCCCTTCTCAGAGGTGGAACCCAGGCTCCTGACTTCTGGTCAGGTGCTTTTCAACAGCAGAAGTGACGAGGGTTGCTTGCTGAAGGACCAGAGTGTGGCAGCAGCAGGCCAGGGTGCGGCTCCTAAACTCCCCATCCTCACCCACCAGTTTTTAGCAGGAAGCCTCACTGCCACATTCCTGCCCACAGAAAGGGACAAAGAGGAGGGGTAGGCGGGGCAGTCAGAGGAAGGAGCAGGGAAAACATTCCCAGAGGCCGGCTGGCCCCCTCTAAACACCAGAGATGGGCTGGGGCAGTGGTGTTGATGGAAGGCTGCCGCCTGCATGACAGTGGGGGTCCGCAGGCAGCAACACACAGGACACATTTTTGTGGGTGTGTGAGAGAGTGTTGCAAGGTGGGCTGGGTTGTTGCATTGTTGTCTCAGAGTTGGAACCCACCAATTGTTCTAAACTTATGAATTAGTTTGGTATTTGAGATGAAGCTGGGTGCATGCATCGTTGTCTGCATTTAAATCTTCTGGTAAAAAGTTAAAATTGGTTATTTCTGGAATCTTGTCTAAGAAGGTACAAGGAACATGTAGAAGAACATTGTCTCAGCTTTCTGACTGCATGCAGGGGGCAGAACTGATAAGGTCTCTTCTGTCCAGGGGACTTGGTGCTGGCCGAAAACGCAAGAGGACCAAGTCTGGGTGGGCTGGGGCATGCAGAGTACTTCCAGTGTGGCCTCCTGACGCTGGCCCTCACCCCGAACCTGTCCCCACTGCCCAAATGCGCCTTTGCCCTGGCACGCCCTTGTTGGCTGCTCAGTGGCTCTGCCCTCCCCCTGGAGCCCCTCCTCAGTTCAACTCAGTTCACACATCCTGAGGAGGATGTGGCCTTAGGAGGACTGGGCTGGTCCCCCAGACTTGGTCTCTCCGTCTTCTGAGGCCGCAGGGCAGCAGCTGTGTCCATTACTGAGCCTGTGATGGGGCTGAGATGTGTGTTTCTGTGTGAGCCCATCAAAGCAGCAGGTTGGGGTTGTCACGTTAATATGACCTATCACAGCACCTGGCACCCCGAGTGCTCAGAAATGCTGACTGCAGTTTTGGGCACTGTGGCTCGGTCCCAGGGTTCTGAAGGCGGGGACCCCAGTTTCATTCCTCCTGTTGCCTCTTCCTTCCTGTGCACCTCTCTGAGCCGACGTATCCTCATATACAAAAGGGGGGTCAGCGGTGGTGCCCACCTCACAGGGTGTGTGTGCAACAGGGGTGTGGCGGGCGGGGGCTGTGAGGGTGAACGGTGGGTGTAGAGCACTGAGCTCGGTGCCCAGCCTCCAGCAAGTGCCCAGTGAAGGGCAGCTATTGCTGATATGAAAGCCCAGGTCTGGTCACCCACCTCCCAGGGAAAAGGCCTGACTGGAGAGAGGGAGAGAGCAGGCGTTTCTCTGAGGGGCTGCCCTGCTCATACCTGGGCTTGGCCAGGGCAGGGGAGAGCTGGTTCACAAATCGGGTCCGGCCCTGGCTGGTGTGGCTCAGTGGATTGAGTGCTGACTGTGAAGCAAAAGGTCACCAGTTGGATTCCCAGTCAGGGTGCATGCCTGGCTTGCTGGCCAGGTCCCCAGGAGGGCTGTGTGAGAGGCAATCACACACTGATGTTTCTCTCTCTCTTTCTCCCTCCCTTCCCCTCTCTCTAAAAATAAAGAAATACAACCTTTACAAACAATGAATCAGGTCCAGGCACTGCCGGGCAGGGGCGGGGGTACCTTCCCGCAGTCATCCCACTCTCCCCAACACACAGGAGTCCTGACTCGGGTTTTAATTAAGTCACATACAATTCAGGGGATCAGGCCCCACCAACGTCAGTAGACACCACCTGGGATTGTGGGGGGCCTGGAGGAGGGGGTGGTGAGAAGATGCCCTCTCCCTTCAGTCCCCTATAGGGACCAAACCCACCAGGAGTCACCCCGGGGGGAGATGGTGGAACAAAATGCCCAACAGAAGGGACAGGACCAAAGCTGCCCGAAGGCCCAGGAGGGCAGTGAGGGGACAACCGGGCTCTGCAAGCCCCGTCCTCAGGGAAAATCACAATTGTCCACTGGCCCAGGGAAGAGGCTCCATCAGGCCCCCAGGGGAGAAGCTCTGGGGGAGGCAGAGCTGGAGAAGCAGAAGTGGCCCCGGGCCGCACTCTGTTGGCTGAGCCAGGCAGCTGAGCCTGTTTCCGGACTGGGGAGCGTGCTCAGGACCCTGCCTCACAGTGGAAGGTCTGCAGTTCCCATGTTCAGGGGCTGGAAACATGGGGTGCAGGTGGTGGGAAAGGGCAGTCTCCCATGATGCACCCCATTCCAGGGCCACTTCCCAGTGGTCTCTGGAGGTGCCAGGGCCAGGAATGGGCACAGCTGATCCTTGGCCCCCTTTTGCAGGGCCTGGTGGTCTCTGCAGAGAAGAGGGAATACTGGCCCCTTCCCCCCTCAGCCCAGCCCCCACTTCCCTCCCAAGGAAGCTGGGTTAGTGGGGCCAAAGCTGTGCTGCCTCCCTGGAACTTGGACACCTGAGGTTTCCCAACCCCCTTCGTTGGGCCCGTGGCGGGGTCACAGCCTCATGTCCCTGAGCACTTTGCCACACTGCTCCATAAAGGTTGTGGACATGTGCAGGGAAAAGGCCCTGGGAGGGGGGCAGGGAGTGGTGCATCACTTTGCTGCTCCCCAAGGGCTAGTGTGCTCTCCCCACAGGGGTCCTTCCTCTCTAGGGGAGCACAAAACCCCCAGTTAAAAAAACGGATCCAGGGAGGATTGGCAACATTCTGACATCGCTTGAAACACTGGTTCTGTCCGAAGTGCCTGCCCCCCCCACTCTGATTGGTCTGTAAACCATGCCCCCTGGAGGCTGCCCACCCTGGGTAATGTTAGTTCGGAGTCGCTCAATAAACCAGACGGACTCAGTGAGTCAAGGAGCAGGTTTATTAGTGGGGAATAAGTGGGGAAAGTGGAGCCAACCAAGAGAGGTTGGGGAGCCAACCAAGGGAGGCTAACACTCACAGGGGGAAAGTGGGGTCAACCCAGGGAGGTTGGGGAGCCAACCAAAGGAGGTTAACACTTGTGGGGGAAAGTGGGGTCAACCCAGGGAGGTTGGGGAGCCAACCAAGGGAGGTTAACACTCACGCGGGGATTGTGGGGTCAACCCAGGGAGGTTGGGGAGCCAACCAAGGGAGGTTAACACTCCTGGGGGAAAGTGGGGTGAACCCAGGGAGGTTGGGGAGCCAACCAAGAGAGGTTAGGACTCACTGGGTTGTTCTTAGGGCGGGGTTTTTAAGCACAAAAACTTACGAAGGGTAATTGGTTGGGGTGTCAGAGTCTGGTTGGCTAGAGCTGGTTGCTGGGTGCCGTTTCTGCTGACCGTTGTTCTTGATACCTCTTGTCATACCTCGGGTTAAAGCTGCATCCTGTTACGCTGGATAGGCCGAGCCTGGACCCCAATCTCAGCGAGGCATCTGTTTGTCCTGGGTTGCACTGGCAGGCAGTCTCCCAGGCTGCAGTATCCCACGGTGTCGTTTTCTCGCCTGGTGATTTTCCATTTCTTGTAGGCCTACCTAGGTCTGTCAGGTAAGAGAGGCCTTCCCCGAATTCCGGGGCGTTCTCCTGGGACAGGCCATCCCGAGGCCCCGGCAGGAGCTCACACCCTCATGCTGCTCTTCTCCTCCTCCTTGGGGCTGGGCTCCTCCTGGACCTTCTTCATCTCCCAGCCCCTGACCCAGGTGTAGGCGGAGGAGCCCCCGAGCACCATCAGGTTGCTTGTCCACCAGAGGAAGCTCTTGGTCTCCTCGTAGTACAGCACAGCCAGCACCGTCTGGGCGCAGGCCTTGGCCGTGCCCGACACGTTGTGGGTCAGGGGACTGGTGAACTTGATCTGCAGGCCTGTCACGTAGCTGATGGCAAGGCCAAACAGTCCTCTCAGCGTCATCATGCCCCAGAAGTGGGCTCTGCCCAGCTGGACAAAGAGGCGGAGGGTCCGCAGCTCCCCCAGCAGCAGGAGTGGAGGCAGGAAGAAGACGCAGGAGATCGCGTTGTTGTAGAAGGTCAGGCGCCAGATGCTGCCGTCCAAAGCTGGGAGCACCTTCTTGGTGTAGACGGCATTAAGGGAGATGCTGAGGCTGGTTAGCACGACAAAGAGGATGCCTGTCAAAGACAGGGAACCCTCTGCCCCCTCATGGTCCACACCAAACCAGAAGCCACCTGCAGTGGGGGGAGGAGACGGGGAGGGAGAAGAGGAGAGGAGGAAGGAGGACAGAGAATTTTGCTGCCCTAATTCACAGAATGTACTGCTGCCCTCACCACCCCATTCTCCCACCCTCCCTGCAATAAATATGCCAAAGTCTTTACTGTATGCAAAGCACCACACAAGGGCTGGGGGCGTGGCCCAGGCCAAGAATGCTTCTCCTGGAGAACGCATTCTAGCAAAGGAGAAAGATAGTAAAACAATTAATGCCCAATTACTTCTTTAATTACACTTGTAATGAGGCCTGTGAAACAGTACAGGGTGCTGCAAGAACCCATAACTGGGTGATGGTGCTGGCCTGAGGCATCTGGAAAGTAGCACTTGGGTCAAGCCCTATAGGATGTGTACTTTATGGTGACAGTGACCTTGGGCAAGTGATTTAAGGTCTCAGAGGCTGGGCATCCTGGTCTGTAAAAAAGAAGCCTGTAGTGAGTTAGAATCACTTGTGGCTGCAGGTCATTTGGGATAGTCACGCTTCACTTCCTTAGGCTCCAATCCTCTGTCACCTCCTGCTCAGAGGGCCTCTGAGTCTCCCCACTATTGGTCTGTGCTCCTCAGCCTGGCACCTGGGCTTCCTGCAACTCTGCCAGCTGTCCCCATCCTGCGACCACCCAGGCTGGCTGTGCTCTGATCTCCTGCTTCTCATGCTGGTGGGGCTGTGTCCTTGTTTGTCTCCAGCACCACAAACACCCTCCTCCTTCTCAGAGTTTCAACTCATTCTTCAAGGTCAAAGTCAGCTTCTGGGGTGGGAGGAGTCTTTCCTCATACCCTCAGCCACCAGATCACTTCTTGTTTCTGCTTCCCTTCCAGACCCCTGGTGTGACCTGGGCTGCAGCGCACCTGCCCACAGGGACAGTGCTGTCTCTTCAGCAAGACCCCACCTTCCCAGAGACAGGGCTGAATCTTACACATGTTGAATCCCCTGCCTCAGCCTCTGGCAACATGGTGTGGGGGTTGTGAGTAGGAAAAGTTCTGGAGTCAGAGAGATTTGGGCTCTGCCATTTAGAGGCTGGGTGGCCTGGGAAAAGTTCACTGAACTTCTCTGAGCTCCCATTTCCCTGAGTGGCAGAGATATGGGCCACTCTCTTGATGCACCGCCCCTGCCCCCCAACCAACCCACTCTGCACCCTGCAACCAGAATGGCGTTCCTAAAGTACAGATCTGCTCAGGTCACATCCTGGCTTAAAGCTCCCCTATGTTGCCTCCCCACTGCCCTTAAAATATTCCAGACTCACTAACTTGGGCAGCCTCGCATCTGGTGAGTCTTGCTCGGGCCCAGCCATGGAGAATGCACGTGCTATACCTCACCCCTTCCTCACATCCATCTGGTACTTCTTCCAGAAGGGCTGATTGCATGACCCCCATCCCACCCACCTGCCCTCCCCACCACAGCCAGGATTCCCACTGCACCCTCTCTGTCCCCTCATAGCTCTCCCTGTTCCATCTTCACTCATGGACAGCCATGCATCATCACTGTGACCTCCAGGAGCTTAGGAGCCGAGTGTACCTTTTCCAAACATGTCTCCCCAATGCTTGGCACAGCCCCTGGCATGTATGTGCCTGTTCTCAGGGAGTATTTGTTGAATGAATGAATGAATGGAGGTTGTTCTGGAGGTGGTTGTGAGGATTAGGGGAGACCAGGCACCCACTGCATCGTAGGCCTGCTCTCCCAGAGCTCCCTTTCCTGGCAGAGCCTTTGCCAACAAGTTACCCATAGCCCTGCTGGGGGTGGCAGGTGCTTAGCTGGAGCACCCTCAGCCCTCCTGCTGGTTCCCTTCTGGTCCAGGAGGGACAGACCCCAGAGGGACTCTCAGCTGGAAGGAGCTTTGAAAGGCACTGTATGACCTGGGAGCAGGGAGGAGGGGGCTGGAGTAGTGGCCTCTGACCCACCTTCCCCAACAAGGAGCAGGCAAGGGAGTCACTCCAGAGCGGGAACAGGTTGGACTGAGGCCGGCACAAGCACCAGCCTCCAGGGCCTGGCCCCATCTGGCTGGCCAGTGGCTGCACCTCTCAGTAGCAATCTCACCATCAGCTACTTTTATTACTTTTCGGATCTGGGCCCAGTTTCCCTAGTGACATCACCTTCCTGCAAGCAAGTTCTCCCACCAAGAGCATCCCAAACACACACGCACAGGTCTGCAGGACTGAAGTGGAGATGCATGGGGGAGAGAGAGGAAGGGGAAAGGGGAGCAGCTGAGAGGGATATGCTGGGGGTCTTGGCAGCTCCTCCCACTCTAGCCTGCTCCCTTCTCCCCTGCCCTGCCCCCAGCTTGGGGCTAGACTGAGCAGCCCTCATGCAGCAGTTGCTGAACAAAGAGGACATTTTCTAGGACAGGTGGCATGGGATGGGCTGCTGCCCTTAACCAGTGCCCCTGGGCCTGGGTCTCTGAGTCACTGGTGAAGAATATGCAGGTCAAGCAAGATCAACTTTCCAGCACCAGGAAAAGCCTGAACAAATTTAAAGAAGCATCTCATTCCTGGATGACAGAGGCCCAGGAAGCCAGGCAGGGATGCTGGGGGTGCTCCTACCTGGTGTGCTGCAACAAAACAAGTGTTCTATAACCTAAGTTGTCCTAACAGTCACCACTGGCCACATGTGGCTACTGAGCATTTGAAGAAAAGTGGCGACAGAATCAGGTTACAATGCCTGTCACTGAGACTAAATTTTCAACATTGCCTTTAGTTTGAATTACAGGAGTCTTCACTTAATGTGGTCCATAGATTCTGCCACTAAAACAACATGGAACTAAATCAGTTTACCATAGGCTAATCGATATAAACGAGAGTTAAGTTCCTATGCATCTCAGCACTGTTATAAGAAAACCATGGTATTTGAGGACCTGCTGCAATTTAAGTGGAAAGAGACATGTGGCCAGTGATCGCTGTACCAGATAGTGCAGCTTTAACTTCTGGGGGACAAGAACAGAGCAGAGTGGTTAGAAGCACAGGCCTGGCAGTCTGGCCACTCTGTTTGCATTCCAACCTTGCATTGTTGGCTGTGTGGCCTTGGGCAAGTAATGGAACCTCCCTGAGCCTCAGTTTCCCTGTTTGAATGGAGATGCTCACCGTGATGCCACCACCCAGGGACCTCTGGGGAACAAAGGACATGCTATAAGTGAAATGATAGCACAATGTCCCCATCAATAATGGTGAGTTTTTGGGAAGAGAGCTAACGTCAAGTTTGTGAAGAGAGCTCATGTCTCTCAAAGTGTATCCCCTGCCACTGTCTCAGGCATTATTATGAGCCTGCAAGGTCAGGGGACAGAATATTTATGAAAAGATGCATTATTTTCTAGAAAGACCACTGGATAGGGAGTCAGGACATGGCAATACAGCACAGTGAGCATGGTGGTCAAGTGCATGGAGGTGACTGCTTGAGATCAGATCCCAGCTCTGCCACTTATTAGCTGTGTGATCTTGGACAAGTTACTAAACCTTTCTGTGCTTTGGTTTTTCCCTCAGTGAAATATAATTTTACCTTGTATGAGGGGCCCTGCCTGTGGCCTTAACTTGTTGGGGGACCTCAAGCGAGTTGTTTGTTCTCTGGATCCCAGGACTTTCCTCTTATTACTGTGGCATCTTGGGAGCTGGGACAGATAAAGTCCAAAGACGCTTGGGAGGGATATTCCTTAGGGTTTTGGCTGCAGTGCCTCCCGTATTTCCCATGGCCCTGGCTGGCCACTCACCTATGATGATGCTGCAGGTGAGCAAGACATAGAAGGAGGTGGTCTGCTTGAGCATCTGGTAGGAGAACAGCACATTGAAGAATATAGTAAGCGAGCGGCCCAGGGTGTAGAAGGCCACACCCATGTATCTCTGGCCAATGTTATAGAAGATGGTCAAGCCAACAAAATACACTGGCAGGGGCAGGACATTACGGGCCATCCTGAAATCCAGGCACAGTGTGGGGAAGTCCACTGCACCAGGAAAGCAGATGGCCAGTATGCTGAGACCCTTGCAGAGGAGTGTGGTCACCAGGCACTGGTAGAAGGTGAGGACGATGGGGCTCTCCAGCTGCAGGTAGGAGCTGTCCAGCAGGTACTTGTTGAGAAACACCATGCAGACGGTGGTGACCCAGTAGAGAGAGACCACCAATGCAATCTGCAGTGCACGAAGCAGAAAGGGCTTCTCCTGGCTGGCCTCCGGCTCGCTGTAGGGTTCTGGGGCCCCCATCAGTGCCATGTGCAGGATCCTGGTGTGCTTCAGAGGGGCCCTGAAAACGGTAGTGGAGGAGCTGGGTCACTGCACACCAGAACTGATTTCCTGGAGTCAAGGGCAGTGAGCTCAAATGTGCTTTCTGCAGGCCACAGCCCTCAGCTGTCTCGTGGGGGTGAGCTAGAGGCCTGCCCACCTTCCCCTTGGATGAAGAAGTTCCGTTTTAGGGTGAGCCTCAGAACCTGCTCCCACCCGGGGGCCTGAATGAATGATACAAGACAGAGGGAGGGCAGATGACCCATCAGGGAACAGGGGTCTGGGGTCTAGGGGAGAGGAATGGAGGGAAAAGTGGCAGGAGGAGGAGGAATGCAGGGCTTTGGTGCTAGATAATTGGGGAGAACAGGGTAGGGAAGAGGTGCAGGGAGAGGGAGGCTTTGGCTGCTATGGAAGAAGGGGGCTTGTAGGGAGGGAGAGAAGAGAGGGCGGCCCGCCTGTAGGGAGCTGAATGGAGGAAGGGCTTGCGCCGGGTGTTCTGAAAAAGGGATGCAGGGGAGGCCAGGAGGGCTCAGGGTGGGGTCCAAGGGACGCGGAATCAGGCCGGCCAGCGCTGGGTCACAGCGCGCCGTTTTCCCGGGCGCCAGCTACAAGTCATCCGGGAGCCTCCTGGCATCCGCTACGGCTCCTGGCCAGGCGGCTCCGGGACTCATTTCCAGGCACGCCCCCGACCGCTTCCTTAAAGAGCCCGCACGCCCACCGTCATTTGTAAAACCACAGTCGCTGAGAGAAGGCCTTCAGAGAGTCAGCTAGTGTCCGGGCCCCGGCGGTTTCCCAGCCTTTGTGCGCTCCCCGCCCGCTCTAGGCGGCGGATCTCGGCAGCCAGGGAAGGTTCCTCTGGCAGTTTGAGCCTCGGTCCCCTTCCTGCAAGCGCCACCCGCTCTGTGTCTTCCGAAGGCTAACCCCCTACCCTCGGCTTATCCAAAGGTGCATCCGCCCCCGGTCGCCCCTGCGGGACTGCGCTCTCCGCGCTCCCCATTCTTGGCAGTGTTCCACGTCCCTCCAGGTCTAAAGACACCCCCATCCCTGCCAGCCCCCCAGCTCACTGTTCCCAAACCTCCTTACAGTTCCCTCCTTCCCCCACTGTCACCGCCTCAGCCCTCTCCAAACCCAGATTCTTAGCAGCGTTCCCAAACGCCCGAGGCCATACCGCCCCTACAGAACCCCAATCTGTCGCCCCGGACTCCCCAATTCTAGCCCCCCCGAGCGGTCGGATCCGAGCCTGAATGCACCACCGTCTCCCCGGTTGTCTCCACCTTGTAAAATCCTCCTCCTCACGCCAGGCCCAGTCGCAAGCTCCGGCTCCATGGCTGGCGTTCCCAGCAAGCAAAAGCGACCCCGCGCTCACCTGGCTCTGCGTTGACGGACTGTGGGCTCCCGCCGCCCTGACCGGCACCCGCGCCACACACCTGCAGCATCTCACCCCGTGCCGCGCCCTCGGGAGATGACTTCCTGTTCCCAGCCCTGGGCGCGGGCACCGCGCCAGCCTCGCTGCCGGCTTCCCAATGGGGGCCCGGGGGCGACCTCGGGGAGACCTAGGCCCCAGCCTATCCTCGGCCCCAGGTTATCCCGCTGGTCACGGGAACAGGTTCCTTCCTCTTCGGGACCCACCCCAGCTTCGGGACCTCGCCCCAGTCAGCCCCACAATCCCCCGCTCCAGTTACCGCAGCTTGCAAGTCCCAGGATCCGGGAGCATCCTAGGCCCGTCGCGCACCAGGCCTGAGCTTCCACAAGTGCGTGCGGTAACGGCTCTGCTTCTCTCTGTTCGCGGGGAGTGGAGTGTCCCCGCCCCAGCTCCCGCCCCCCGCGCCCCACTCCCAGGGACCCGCCTGGGAAGTCGGTGACCAGCCCGGGACCGCCACTTACCAGGCAGGCACCAGGGCTGACTTCTCTCCCTGATTCCCGCTCAAGCACCAAGACTGGGCGGCTCAATTCTCCTGAGTTCTCTTTGTTGTAAAGCTAGGGGGCTGGACTACGCCCGTTGGTCTCAAACCCCTTACTCAGAATCCTAGCTAGTGTGGTTCCGAGTAGGGGGTACTGGCTGTTTGTTCCATTTCAGACGCCATTTAATTAGTGCCACTTAATTGACTGGTGAGATGCCTGAGATTTGCTTTAAATACTCAGAATATTCACCAAAAAGAAAAGAGAAAGGTTGATGAAACCAGGTAGGCAAAGTGTTGATAACTTTTGAAGCTGGGCATGGATACTGGGGCCGTGGGCGGGGGGAGGGGGAGGCGTTACTGTTGTAAGGTTTTACTCCTTAACTGAAAGTTCCATAATAAAAAAGTAAAACCTATGGAGTACATGTAAAGCCTCACATGCTAACTGCTTGCCATAGAAAACTGGAAGGGTTAGGGGAAATAAGCACCGTGCAGCAGCCCCAGGGCAGATGCGGAGTCCCCAGTGCCAGCTCTGCCCCAGGCCCTCTCCTCCTCCACCAGGCCTCTGGTCCTCAGTCTGGGATGCTCACACCCTCCCTTCCTGCAGGGATGGGATGTCCTGCTTCCCAGTTACAGGCAGGTGGAGGATGCCTTCTGGTCACCTTGTCACCTTTGGGATCAAGTCATCCCTTTGGGGAATGAGAGACTTAAACAAACTGAGCTGGTCATCTGAACCTTATCTGGTGAGTCCTGTTCCAGGGCCACACCTGGGGCCGTGGGATGGCTTTCCAGCGATGCCTGCTCCAGTCTCTTCTCCCTGAGGCCTGGCCTTTCACCGTGACACGCAACTGAGTGGCAAACAGGGGACTCTTGTCTTTTGAGAGGCCCTGGTTTCCTGGAAGGGCCCCTTCCTTTGTCATATCAGCAGGGATTAATTTTTCTGATGAGTGTGGGCCCCCAAGGAAGAGATCTACACTGTATACAGGCCAGAAGCCCTTCTCAGAGAGAGACCAGGGGCTGTTCCCTGCTGGGTACGAGGGGCATAGTCTGGGCTCTCTGGGGGCCACAGGACCCCTGCATGTACGCTGGTCTCTAGTCTGCCCCTTACATTGTACCTGCAATTTCCCCATTAGCTGAACTCACTCCTTTGCATTAAGGTTGTGATAGGCTAACACAGTAAGTTCCACAGATTCCAGGTTTTTTTGTTCCTTATCAAGGAAAGGGGAGGTGGGGACCTTTCTTAGGGGTCTGAGGCCTCAAGGAGTTGTGCTTTCTGCACAAACTGTTTGCTTTTGGATTTAACTTAAGGAACGTTAATTATTTACACCATTCATAAAGGGTGAAGTTTTAGTTTTTTGCAGAGAAATGGCCCAGTGTGTGTATAAGCTGTGAGGTGGGACAGGAGGTCATCACTGTGGAGGTGAGGGCTGTAGCGAGCCAGGCCTTGTAGGCGCAGCCCTATTGTCTGGCCTTGGGTGGGAACCAAGGACAATGGCAGCAGATGATTTCTTTTTTAAAATATATTTTATTATGCTATTATAGTTTTGCCAATTTTCCCCCTCTACCCTCCCTCCAACCTGCCCCCAACCCTCTAGTATTCACCCCGATTAGTCCATGTCTGTGGGTTGTACATGTAAGTTATTTGAGTCCTCTATTTCCCGTACCATTTTTATCTTTCCCCGTCTACCTTATGCCTACTAACCACGCTTCTTCTTCCCTGTACCTGTCCCCCTTATTCCTCCCTTCCCTTTCCCTACTGAACTCTCTCCATGTGATGTCCATTTCTCTGATTCTGTTCCTGTTCTAGTTGTTTGCTTAGTTTCTTTTCTTTAATTTTAAAAATATTTATTTATTTATTTATCTTTAGAAGGGAAGGGAAGGAGAGAGGGAGAGAAATATCAATGAATGGTTGGTTCTCATGCATTCCCTGCTGGGAACTGGCCCCTGCTGGGAAATGGCCTGCAACCCAGGCATGTGCCTTGACTGCGAATCAAACCTTGATCTTTTGGTTCACAGGCCCGTGCTCAATCCACTGAGCTACACCAGCCAGGGCTCTGTTTGCTTAGTTTTCTGTTTTCGTTGTTTTTCTTTCCTTTTAGGTTCTTTTGTTGATAGCTGTGAGTTTGTTGGCATTTTACTGTTCATGTATTCAATGATCTTCTTTTTCTTAGGTAAGTCCCTTTAACATTTTATATAATAAGGGCTTGGTGGTGATAAACTCCTTTAACTTGAACTTATCTGGGAAGCACTTTATCTGCCCTTCCATTCTAAATGGTAGCTTTGCTGGATAGAGTCATCTTGGATGTAGGTCCTTGCCTTTCATGACGTCAAATACTTCTTTCCAGCCCCTTCTTGCCTGCAAGATTTCCTTTGAAAAATCAGCTGATAGACTAATGGGAACTCCTCTCTAGGTAACTCTTCCCTTTTCTCTTTCAGCTTTTAAGATTCTCTCCTTGTCTTTAACCTTGGGTAACTTAATGGTGATGTGCTTTGGTGTGTTCCTCTTTGGGTCCAACTTCCTTGGGACTCTCTGCACTTCCTGGACTTCCTGGAAGTCTATTTCCTTCACCAGATCAAAGGGGAAGTTTTCCTTCATTATTTGTTCAAATAAGTTTTCCATTTCTTGCTGTTGTTCTTCTCCTTCTGGCAGCCCTATAATTCGGATATTGGAACGTTTCAGGTTATCCCAGAGATTCCTCAGTCTTTATTTTTTTGGATTCTTGTTTCTTCATTCCGTTCCAGTTGGATGTTTAGTTTTTCCTTTTGTTCCAAATCATTGCTTTGAGTCCTGGTTCCCTCCTGTCTCTGTTGGTTTCCTGAACATTCTGCTTTACTTCACTTTGGGTATCCTTCATTTGTTTTTTCATTTGTCAACCAAACTCTATCAGATCTGTGGGCATTTTGATTACCAGGGTTTTAGATTCTCCATCAGACAGGTTGGCTGTCTCCTCCTTGTTTAGCTCTCCATCTGAGGCTCTACTCTGTTCTCTCATTTGGGCCATACTTCATCGTCTCAAGCACTGGTCTGGGTGTTCTGTTTGACTGTTTCTTTAATTCCTCGGTTGCCAGAGCCGCATGCAGTTTGATTTTTTGGCACTTCTGGTTGTTTATTGATTGTAGATTGGTTGTTGGCCTCCTTTTGGTTGTGTGAGGAAGCAAAGGGTTTCCACCCATGTCTTCATCTTGGCCCGAACTCAAAAGAAGATGATTTCTACAGACAGAAGTGACCTCGCAGGTGTAGGGAACAGTGATCCATATCGGTAGGGCCTGAGAACTCCTGGAAACACAGGTGTTGATTGTCTTGCCCCTGAGTTCAACAAGGACTCAGAAGCTAACTCTGTGTGGTGGACACTAGTAACTACCTACCAAAATTCAATCTCCCATTAGCCCAAATAACTGAAAGGTAGTCACATGGTTGCCCAGCCTGCCTTGTGGGTCACTAAGACATGTGACTCAGTGGTTGGGGAAGGGAGGTGATGTGTTTGCTGCTGTCCACATCCGGGCCTTAAAACCTTAGGCGTGTGCTCCTCCATGCTCTCTCCTCCTCTTCCCATAACCTGGGAGCCCAGTATATCTACAATGCAGCTGTGACCATGCAGACGAGGTCAATGTCATAGGGCTGTGGGAGCAACATGAGGGGAAGAGCCTGGATTCCTGACTGTGTGGTGCAGGGCCACCTGCCAGTGTGGCCTGCCTACCTTGGGACTGTTACATGAGAGAGAAGTCAACTTCTACTGTTCATGTCCCTGTGTGGTTATAGGGGGAGCTCTTTGTTATAGCAGCGAGGCCTTTACCCTTTTTGTTGCTTCTTTTTATTATATGTTCTGTCTTTAATGGAGGCCTGAGGTTCGGAAGGACAGCCCCGATTTTGTAAGCATGAGACAAAAGGAGGACAGCTAAAGATGGCAGAGCAGAAGCCTGGGGACAGCCTGAGTCCCTTGGAGCCTGGATGATCTGCCATGGGCAGGCCCAGGGTCTGAGGCAGCAATGCAGGGAATGTAATCACCAGGGAAGGAGCCCAAGCTGCAGAGCTGGAGGCAGGGTGGAGAATGTTGAAGGCAGGGCCCATGTTGCAGAGAAGGATTAGGAGTGGGTGAACCAGGGACAGGACTGGTAAATCCAGGGTCTGTTAATAAAAAAGGTCCCAGTGTTGGGAACAGGGTTCTGCAGGCAAAAGCAAAAACTATTCCTTGTTTCTCTAGATTCTGTGGGCTGATCAGGTGGCTCTTCTGCTGGTCTTGTGTGGGACCACCCTGTGGCCACGCCCACCTGGGGGGTGGGCCAGACCTGTTGCCCAGGTGCCTTGGTTCCCGTCCATGTGGCCTTTCCACATGGCTGCCTCCGGCCTCCTGAGAGTGGTTGTGTCAGAATAGCCGGGGGAGAAACAGAGGTCCCTTTAAAACATGGATTCCAAAGCCCCAGAATGTTTTTTCTGTACCTTGGTCAGAGCAAGTCACAAGTTCAGCCCTGAGTCAAGGATTCAGTAGACTCCACCTGTGGACAGCAGTTGCAGTCTGCACAGATGGCCGGCTGGACGGGCGCTGGGTGTGCCGGGCCAACACCACGGCTACTTTCAGGGGATTTAAAAAAAAGATTTTATTTATTTCTTTTGAGAGAGGAGAAGGAAGGAGACAGAGAGGCAGAGAAACACCACTGAGTGGTTGCCTCTTGTGTGCCCCCTACTGGGTTCCTGGCCCAAAACCTAGGCCTGTGCCCTGACTGGGAATGGCACCAGTGACCCTCTGGGTCTCAGGCTGGTGCTCAATCCACTGAGCCACACCAGCCAGGGCTGATTTCTTAGTTGCCACCAAAAGAAAATTAACTGGTATATCTTAGGATTTACAGTCTCTACCTACCACAACCTGATTTCGCCTCTCAGTGCCTCTCAGCGCCTCTCAGCCTCCCAGGCCTCGCCTTCCCTCAGTCACACCCACCACATTCCCACCCCAGTGCCCTTGCACCTGCTGATCTGTCTGCCTGACATGTTCTAATTCACATCTTCTCCTGACTGCTCCTTTGTCACATTCAGAGTTGGTCTCCCATTTTACTTGGAGAAGTTTGCCTCTGATCCCCGGAATTAAAGCCACACCCCCGATACTGCCTGTCTCCTAATTAAGCCTAAGGATATATTACTTACTATTTGCCTTTTTGATTGCTCTTATTCTTTGCTCACCTGAACTTGAAGAAGGGCGATAAGCCCGAGAACACAGGGACTGCGGTTGGTCTGGATCTCTGACATATGCCTGGCACATGGTGGGTGTTTAATATGTATTGACTGAAAAGCAAGCTTCCTGCCCTTTAGGAACTGTAATGTCAATATTCAGACAGCGGGGACCAAAGGCAACGTCAGTGGCAGCACAGATGACTCCACAAAGTGAGGAAGGAGCACAGGTCTCGGCTGCAGGGCCTCAGCGATAACGATCATCCTGTCATTTGTGACTAGAAGCACCGTTCGAAGGGCTTGGAAACTACAGGCACAGCATGCGCACCTCAACGTGACTTCTGAGAGGGCGTCCTGGGAATTCTGTGCAGGACGGGGCTCGGGCGTGACGGAGCGGGGGTCCGCACTGAGTGGCAAGGGACACCCAGACATGTGCGGAGGGCTGTAGTCAGGGGGCGGCCATGAGAAGGGCTGTGTGGCCGTTGTGATGCCCATCCCGTGTTCTCCCATGGGGCGTGCGTCTCTGTTTCCTACTCTTGCTTCTGGGCGGGCTTGCAGTTGCTTCAACCAATAAAGAAAGGCAGAGTGGTACAAAGGGACTTCCAGGCTGGGTCAGAAAAGGCCAGGTAGCTTCCAGGTACTCCTCCTGCAAACCACAGTGAGGACACCAACTGCAGGTAAGAGGTCCGACCCCCCAGAGACCACCATGCTAGAGAGGTCATGGGCAGATGCTCCAGCTGCCAGCTGCTTGCAGCTCCCAGCCCACGGCCAGCATCAGCTGCCAGCACCTGAGTGAGTGGTTTGGATGTTCAGCACCAGCCAGCAGATGCCACCACTTGAGGGACTCTGAGCAAGGACCGCTCAGCTGTGCCCTTTCTGACCCACAACATCACCAGCAAAACCAAATGGCTGTTTACAGCTGCCAAGTTTTGGGATAATACACCGTTTCTTTGGTGCTTTCTCCTTCACAAACACTGCCTGAGTCCTAACATCCCAGAGTCCCTTTGACATCACCACTGGATGAGGTCTCATCACGACCCATCAACATCTCAAACCTAACATGTCCCAAAATAAACTTGATCCCAGGCCCGCCCCTCACCCCTCCGTCTTCCTGGTCCAGTAAATGGCACCTCCGTCCCCAGTTTTGTGTTCAAGAATTCTGCTATCATCCTTGACTCCTTCCTTTTCCTCAGCCCCACGTGCAGTCCGTCTGAAAGGTCTGGAGCTTCACCTTCAAAATGCATCTCAGGTCCGTCCACTCTCTGTGTCTACTGCCACCACCACAGTCGAAGCCACCGCCACTTCTCACCTGGCCTCCACCATGGCCTCCTGCAGCCCTTGCCTTTCCTGTGAGGTCGTTCTTCTCACAACAGCCAGAGGGGCTTTCTCAACATAGAAATCAAGTCCTGGTGCCTCAGTGCCTGGCCGGGGCACTGAGCCCCCACCCAGCCTTGCTGTGGTCGGGACACGCCTCCTCTCCCACTGTTGTCCTTTCTGTGCTTTCAGTTACCAGGGGTGTCAGGTGCCCATGGCCAACTGTGGCCTGGAAATATGAAATGGGAAATTCCAGGGACACCCAGGTCACAAGTTTTAAATGTGCGCCATTCTGCTGGGTGCAGTGGGATGGTGCGTCCCTCACCGGTCCACCCTCTGTGTGTGTCATCGTTTTGCCCAGTGACTCCAGGCTGTGGTCGCTCCCTACCCACTAGTTATTAGCCACTTCGGTTATCAGGTCGACTGTCCTGTCCTGGTATAGCAGCCCTTGTGGTCACATGTCCCATATTTTATTTAATAGCGGCCCAATGGGCAAGTGTAGTGATGCTGGGAATTCATACATGCCAAAGAGAAGCTGAAAGTATGTCTATATAAGAAAAATAGTGTATGAGGGTGCAGTACTAACCTAGTTTCAGGCATCCATTAGGGCTTTTGGAATGTATCCCCATTGGATAAAGGGGGACTACTGAGCAGTGCTTCCTAGCTTGAACTTGACCTGTGGTTCCTTTCTTCTCCCTGATGAGTGGAGCCAAAACTTACCAGCATTTCCAAGTAATGGCAGAGGTTGTCAAATCTGTCTCTATCCCCTTTCCTGTCTCTGGGCATTTGCCTTCCCTGGGAGGAGACCCCCCAACTCTGCCCCTGCTACCCTGGCCTTTACCCTGGTCCTTCCCACACCCAACTCTTCTGCCTCCCCAGGGCCTCTGCATGGGCTGCAGCCTGTGCCTGGGATGCCCTGTCCCTGACTGTCCTCAGGACGGCTCCTCCCTTCCCTGGAGTCCGGGGTTAACACTGTGTTCTGAGAGGCCGCCTCTGACTGTTCCATCTGGGGAAGGTGCCTTCTGCAGTTCTCCATCTCGGCTTTTCCTTGATGGTCCTTGTCACAGCATCATTTGTTTTCTTCTTCTTCTCCTCCTCCTCCTCCTCCTCTTCTTCTTCTTCTTCTTCTTCTTTTTTTAATGCTTTTAGTTTTTGCCACTGTTGGTCTCCCTGGAGCTGGGCTCACAGTGAACAGTTGGGACAGAGACTGTTGTCTGTTGATGTGGAAACTAGCCAGACCCGTGGGATTCTGGGAACTATCCCGAACACTGATTCACATCCATGTTGTGTGGCAGGAAGGACAAGAGCTATCCCCATAACTCAGATAGGGAAAGTGAGGTACAGAGAGGCTAGGGGGCCTGGCCCAGGCCATCTCCCTTCTCAGAGGTGGAACCCAGGCTCCTGACTTCTGGTCAGGTGCTTTTCAACAGCAGAAGTGACGAGAGTTGCTTGCTGAAGGACCAGAGTGTGGCAGCAGCAGGCCAGGGTGCGGCTCCTAAACTCCCCATCTTCACCCACCAGTTTTTAGCAGGAAGCCTCATTGCTACATTCCTGCCCACAGAAAGGGACAAAGAGGAGGGGTAGGCGGGGCAGTCAGAGGAAGGAGCAGGGAAAACATTCCCGGAGGCCAGCTGGCCCCCTCTAAACACCAGAGATGGGCTGGGGCAGTGGTGTTGATGGAAGGCTGCCGCCTGCATGACAATGGGGGTCCGCAGGCAGCAACACACAGGACACATTTTTGTGGGTGTGTGAGAGAGTGTTGCAAGGTGGGCTGGGTTGTTGCATTGTTGTCTCAGAGTTGGGACCCACCAATTGTTCTAAACTTATGAATTAGTTTGGTATTTGAAATGAAGCCGGGTGCATGTATCTTTGTCTGCATTTAAATTTTCTGGTAAAAAGTTAAAATTGGTTATTTCTGGAATCTTGTCTAAGAAGGTATAAGGAACATGCAGAAGGACATTGTCTCAGCTTTCTGACTGCATGCAGGGTGCAGAACTGATAAGGTCTCTTCTGTCCAGGGGACTTGGTGCTGGCCGAAAAAGCAAGAGGACCAAGTCTGGGTGGGCTGGAGCATGCAGAGTACTTCCGGCGTGGCCCCCCCACTCTGGCCCTCACCCCGAACCTGTCTCCACTGCCCAAATGCGCCTTTCCCTTGGCACGCCCTTGTTGGCTGCTCAGTGGCTCTGCCCTCCCCCTGGAGCCCCTCCTCAGTTCAACTCAGTTCACACATCCTGGTCCTTAGGAGGACTGGGCTGGTCCCCCAGACTTGGTCTCTCCGTCTTCTGAGGCCGCAGGGCAGCAGCTGTGTCCATTACTGAGCCTGTGATGGGGCTGAGATGTGTGTTTCTGTGTGAGCCCATCAAAGCAGCAGGTTGGGGTTGTCACGTTAATATGACCTATCACAGCACCTGGCACCCCGAGTGCTCAGAAATGCTGAGCGCAGTTTTGGGCACTGTGGCTCGGTCCCAGGGTTCTGAAGGCGGGGACCCCAGTTTCATTCCTCCTGTTGCCTCTTCCTTCCTGTGCTCGTCTCTGAGCGGATGTATCCTCATATACAAAAGGGGGGTCAGCGGTGGTGCCCACCTCACAGGGTGTGTGTGCAACAGGGGTGTGGCGGGCGGGGGCTGTGAGGGTGAACGCTGGGTGTAGAGCACTGAGCTCGGTGCCCAGCCTCCAGCAAGTGCCCAGTGAAGGGCAGCTATTGCTGATATGAAAGCCCAGGTCTGGTCACCCACCTCCCAGGGAAAAGGCCTGACTGGAGAGAGGGAGAGAGCAGGCGTTTCTCTGAGGGGCTGCCCTGCTCATACCTGGGCTTGGCCAGGGCAGGGGAGAGCTGGTTCACAAATCGGGTCCGGCCCTGGCTGGTGTGGCTCAGTGGATTGAGTGCTGACTGTGAAGCAAAAGGTCGCCAGTTGGATTCCCAGTCAGGGCGCATGCCTGGCTTGCTGGCCAGGTCCCCAGGAGGGCTGTGTGAGAGGCAACCACACACTGATGTTTCTCTCTTTCTCCCTCCCTTCCCCTCTCTCTAAAAATAAAGAAATACAACCTTTACAAACAATGAATCAGGTCCAGGCACTGCCGGGGGCGGGGGTACCTTCCCGCACTCATCCCACTCTCCCCAACACACAGGATTCCTGACTCGGGTTTTAATTAAGTCACATACAATTCAGGGGATCAGGCCCCACCAACATCAGTTGAAACCACCTGGGATTGTGGGGGGCCTGGAGGAGGGGGTGGTGAGAAGATGCCCTCTCCCTCCAGTCCCCTATAGGGACCAAACCCACCGGAAGTCACCCCAGGGGAGATGGTGGAACAAAATGCCCAACAGAAGGGACAGGACCAAAGCTGCCCGAAGGCCCAGGAGGACAGTGAGGGGACAAAAGGGCTCTGCCAGCCCCGTCCTCAGGGAAAATCACAACTGTCCACTGACCCAGGGAAGAGGCTCCATCAGGCCCCCAGGGGAGAAGCTCTGGGGGAGGCAGAGCTGGAGAAGCAGAAGTGGCCCCGGGCCGCACTCTGTTGGCTGAGCCAGGCAGCTGAGCCTGTTTCCGGACTGGGGAGCGTGCTCAGGACCCTGCCTCACAGTGGAAGGTCTGCAGTTCCCATGTTCAGGAGCCGGAAACATGGGGTGCAGGTGGTGGGAAAGGGCAGTCTCCCATGATGCACCCCATTCCAGGGCCACTTCCCAGTGGTCTCTGGAGGTGCCAGGGCCAGGAATGGGCACAACTGATCCTTGGCCCCCTTTTGCAGGGCCTGGTGGTCTCTGCAGAGAAGAGGGAATACTGGCCCCTTCCCCCTCAGCCCAGCCCCCACTCCCCTCTCAAGGAAGCTGGGTTAGTGGGGCCAAAGCTGTGCTGCCTCCCTGGAACTTGGACACCTGAGGTTTCCCAACTGCCTTCGTTGGGCCCGTGGCGGGATCACAGCCTCATGTCCCTGAGCACTTTGCCACACTGCTCCATAAAGGTTGTGGACATGTGCAGGGAAAAGGCCCTGGGAGGGGGGCAGGAAGGGGTGCATCACTGTGCTGCTCCCCAAGGGCTAGTGTGCTCTCCCCACAGGGGTCCTTCCTCTCTAGGGGAGCACAAAACCCCCAGTTAAAAAAACGGATCCAGGGAGGATTGGCAACATTCTGACATCGCTTGAAACACTGGTTCCATTTGACCATCTAACTCCCATTGGTTCGTAATCATAGCCCCTGGGGGCTGTCCGCTCTGGGTAAGAGAGGTCTTCCGGCTTTCAGGGGCGTTCTCCTGGGACAGGCCATCCCGAGGCCCTGGCAGGAGCTCACACCCTCATGCTGCTCTTCTCCTCCTCCTTGGGGCTGGGCTCCTCCTGGACCTTCTTCATCTCCCAGCCCCTGACCCAGGTGTAGGCGGAGGAGCCCCCGAGCACCATCAGGTTGCTTGTCCACCAGAGGAAGCTCTTGGTCTCCTCGTAGTACAGCACAGCCAGCACCGTCTGGGCGCAGGCCTTGGCCGTGCCCGACACGTTGTGGGTCAGGGGACTGGTGAACTTGATCTGCAGGCCTGTCACGTAGCCAATGGCAAAACCAAACAATCCTCCCAGTGTCATCATGCCCCAGAAGTGGGCACTGCCCAGCTGGACAAAGAGGCGGAGGGTCCGCAGCTCCCCGAGCAGCAGAAGCAGGGGCAGGAAGAGAACGCATGCAATCACATTGTTGTAGAAGGTCAGGCGCCAGATGCTGCCGTCCACCACTGGGAGCACTTTCTTGGTGTAGATGGCGTTGAGTGAGACACAGAGGCTGGCTAGCACGCCAAAGAGGGTGCCGGTCCAAGACAGGGTACCCTCAGCCCCCTCCTGATCCACACCAAGCCAGAAGCCACCTGCAGAGGGGAGAGGAGGTGGGGAGGGAGATGAGAATGGGAGAAAGGAGGACAGAGAATTTTGCTGCCCTAATTCACAGAATGTAACGCTGCCCTCACCACCCCATTCTCCCACCCTCCCTGCAATAAATGTGCCAAAGTCTCTACTGTTTGCAAAGCACCACACAAGGGCTGGGGGCGTGGCCCAGGCCAAGAATGCTTCTCCTGGAGAACGCATTCTAGCAAAGGAGAAAGATAGTAAAACAATTAATGCCCAATTACTTCTTTAATTACACTTGTAATGAGGCCTGTGAAACAGTACAGGGTGCTGCAAGAACCCATAACTGGGTGATGGTGCTGGCCTGAGGCATCTGGAAAGTAGCACTTGGGTCAAGCCCTATAGGATGTGTACTTTATGGTGACAGTGACCTTGGGCAAGTGATTTAAGGTCTCAGAGGCTGGGCATCCTGGTCTGTAAAAAAGAAGCCTGTAGTGAGTTAGAATCACTTGTGGCTGCAGGTCATTTGGGATAGTCACGCTTCACTTCCTTAGGCTCCAATCCTCTGTCACCTCCTGCTCACAGGGCCTCTGAGTCTCCCCACTATTGGTCTGTGCTCCTCAGCCTGGCACCTGGGCTTCCTGCAACTCTGCCAGCTGTCCCCATCCTGCGACCACCCAGGCTGGCTGTGCTCTGATCTCCTGCTTCTCATGCTGGTGGGGCTGTGTCCTTGTTTGTCTCCAGCACCACAAACACCCTCCTCCTTCTCAGAGTTTCAACTCATTCTTCAAGGTCAAAGTCAGCTTCTGGGGTGGGGGGAGTCTTTCCTCATACCCTCAGCCACCAGATCACTTCTTGCTTCTGCTTCCCTTCCAGACCCCTGCTGTGACCTGGGCTGCAGCGAACCTGCCCACAGGGACAGTGCTGTCTCTTCAGCAAGACCCCACCTTCCCAGAGACAGGGCTGAATCTTACACATGTTGAATCCCCTGCCTCAGCCTCTGGCAACATGGTGTGGGGGGTTGTGAGTAGGAAAAGTTCTGGAGTCAGAGAGATTTGGGCTCTGCCATTTAGAGGCTGGGTGGCCTGGGAAAAGTTCACTGAACTTCTCTGAGCTCCCATTTCCCTGAGTGGCAGAGATATGGGCCACTCTCTTGATGCACCACCCCTGCCCCCCAAACAAGCCACTCTGCACTCTGCAACCAGAATGGCGTTCCTAAAGTACAGATCTGCTCAGGTCATGTCCTCGCTTAAAGCTCCCCTATGTTGCCTCCCCATTGCCCTTAAAATATTCCAGACTAACTAACTTGGGCAGCCTCGCATCTGGTGAGTCTTGCTCGGGCCCAGCCATGGAGAATGAACGTGCTATACCTCACCCCTTCCTCACATCCATCTGGTACTTCCTCCAGAAGGGCTGCTTGCATGACCCCCTTCACACCCACCTGCCCTCCCCGCCACAGCCAGGATTCCCACTGCACCCTCTCTGTCCCCTCACAGCTCTCCCTGTTCCATCTTCACTCATGGACAGCCATGCATCATCACTGTGACCTCCAGGAGCTTAGGAGCCGAGTGTACCTTTTCCAAACATGTCTCCCCAATGCTTGGCACAGCCCCTGGCATGTATGTGCCTGGTCTCAGGGAGTATTTGTTGAATGAATGAATGAATGGAGGTTGTTCTGGAGGTGGTTGTGAGGATTAGGGGAGACCAGGCACCCACTGCATCGTAGGCCTGCTCTCCCAGAGCTCCCTTTCTTGGCAGAGCCTTTGCCAACAAGTTACCCATGGCCCTGCTGGGGGTGGCAGGTGCTTAGCTGGAGCACCCTCAGTCCTCCTGCTGGTTCCCTTCTGGTCTAGGAGGGACAGACCCCAGAGGGACTCTCAGCTGGAAGGAGCTTTGAAAGGCACTGTATGACCTGGGAGCAGGGAGGAGGGGGCTGGAGTAGTGGCCTCTGACCCACCTTCCCCAACAAGGAGCAGGCAAGGGAGTCACTCCAGAGCGGGAACAGGTTGGACTGAGGCCGGCACAAGCACCAGCCTCCAGGGCCTGGCCCCATCTGGCTGGCCAGTGGCTGCACCTCTCAGTAGCAATCTCACCATCAGCTACTTTTATTACTTTTCGGATCTGGGCCCAGTTTCCCTAGTGACATCACCTTCCTGCATGCAAGTTCTCCCACCAAGAGCATCCCAAACACACACGCACAGGTCTGCAGGACTGAAGTGGAGATGCATGGGGGAGAGAGAGGAAGGGGAAAGGGGAGCAGCTGAGAGGGATATGCTGGGGGTCTTGGCAGCTCCTCCCACTCTAGCCTGCTCCCTTCTCCCCTGTCCTGCCCCCAACTTGGGGCTAGACTGAGCAGCCCTCATGCAGCAGTTGCTGAACAAAGAGGACATTTTCTAGGACAGGTGGCATGGGATGGGCTGCTGCCCTTAACCAGCGCCCCTGGGCCTGGGTCTCTGAGTCACTGGTGAAGAATATGCAGGTCAAGCAAGATCAACTTTCCAGCACCAGGAAAAGCCTGAACAAATTTAAAGAAGCATCTCATTCCTGGATGACAGAGGCCCAGGAAGCCAGGCAGGGATGCTGGGGGTGCTCCTACCTGGTGTGCTGCAACAAAACAAGTGTTCTATAACCTAAGTTGTCCTAACAGTCACCACTGGCCACATGTGGCTACTGAGCATTTGAAGAAAAGTGGCGACAGAATCAGGTTACAATGCCTGTCACTGAGACTAAATTTTCAACATTGCCTTTAGTTTGAATTACAGGAGTCTTCACTTAATGTGGTCCATAGATTCTGCCACTAAAACAACATGGAAGTAAATCAGTTTACCATAGGCTAATCGATATAAACGAGAGTTAAGTTCCTATGCATCTCAGCATTGTTATAAGAAAACCATGGTATTTGAGGACCTGCTGCAATTTAAGTGGAAAGAGACATGTGGCCAGTGATTGCTGTACCAGATAGTGCAGCTTTAACTTCTGGGGGACAAGAACAGAGCAGAGTGGTTAGAAGCACAGGCCTGGCAGTCTGGCCACTCTGTTTGCATTCCAACCTTGCATTGTTGGCTGTGTGGCCTTGGGCAAGTAATGGAACCTCCCTGAGCCTCAGTTTCCCTGTTTGAATGGAGATGCTCACCGTGATGCCACCACCCAGGGACCTCTGGGGAACAAAGGACATGCTATAAGTGAAATGATAGCACAATGTCCCCATCAATAATGGTGAGTTTTGGGGAAGAGAGCTAACGTCAAGTTTGTGAAGAGAGCTCATGTCTCTCAAAGTGTATCCCCTGCCACTGTCTCAGGCATTATTATGAGCCTGCAAGGTCAGGGTGACAGAACATTTATGAAAAGATGCACTGTCTTCTAGAAAGACCACTGGATGGGGAGTCAGGACATGGCAATACAGCACAGTGAGCATGGTGGTCAAGTGCATGGAGTCTGAGTGCTTGAGATCAGATCCCAACTCTGCCACTTATTAGCTGTGTGATCTTGGAGAAGTTCTAAACCTCTCTGTGCTTTGGTTTTTCCCTCAGTGAAATATAATTTTACCTTGTATGAGGGGCCCTGACTGTGGCCTTAACTTGTTGGGGGACCTCAAGCAAGTTGTTTGTTCTCTGGGTCCCAGGATTTTCCTCTTATTACTGTGGCATCTTGGGAGCTGGGACAGATAAAGTCCAAAGACGCTTGAGAGGGATATTCCTTAGGGTTTTGGCTGCAGTGCCTCCTGTATTTCCCATGGCCCTGGCTGGTCACTTACCAATGATGATACCACAGGTGAGCAGGGCGTAGAAGGAGGTGGTCTGTTTGAGCAGCAGGTAAGAGAGCAGCACATTGAAGACCGTAGTGAGTGAACGGCCCACGTTGTAGAAGGCCACACCCACATACTTCAGGCAAAGGTTATTGAAGGTGATCATGCTTATAAAGACCACGGAGAGGGGCAGGACACTGCGGGCCACCCTGAGATCCAGGTACAGCGTGGGGAAGTCCAGTGCACCAGGAAAGCAGACGGCCAGTGTGCTGAGACCCTTGCAGAGGAGTGTGGTCACCAGGCACTGGTAAAAGGTGACGAAGATGGGGGCGTCCAGCTGCAGGGAGGAGCTGTCCAGCAGGTACTTGTTGAGAAAGACCATGGAGATGGAGGTGACCCAGTAGAGAGAGACCACCAATGCAATCTGCAGTGCCCGAAGCAGAAAGGGCTTCTCCTGGCTGGCCTCCGGCTCGCTGTAGGGGTCAGGGGCCCCCATCAGTGCCATGTGCAGGATCCTGGAGCGCTTCAGAGGGGCCCTGTTCATGGTAGCAGAGGAGCTGGGTCACTGCACAGCCAGAACTGATTTCCTGGAGTCAAGAGCAGTGAGCTCAAATGTGCTTTCTGCAGGCCACAGCCCTCAACTGACAGATGAGGCGTGGCCTAGAGGCCTGACCACCTTTCCCTTGTATGAAGAAGTTCCGTTTCAGGGTGAGCTTCACAACCTGCTCTCACCCCACAGGCCTCAGGTGTGAGAGAAGATATAGGGAAGGACTAGTGAACAGGCAGATGACCTACCAGAGAAGAAGAGGCTGGGGCCTAAGGGAGAGGAATGGAAGGAAGTGGCAGGAGGAGGAGAAATTCAGGGCCAGGGTGCTGGAAAATTGCCGACAAGGTGGGGAAGAGGGTCTGGGAGAGAGAGGCATCGGCTGCTATGGAAGAGGGGCGTTTATAGAGAGAGGGCAAGCTTGCGGCGGGTGTTCTGAAAAGAGGGATGCAGGGGAGGGCTCAGGGTGGGGTCCAAGGGTCGAGAAAGGAGGCCGGGGGAAGCTGGGTTACAGCGTGGGGTTTCCCGGGGCGCAGGCTATAGGTCAGCCCGGAGCCTCCAGGCTTAAGAGACCGCTCCCAGCGGGGCGGTACCGGGACTCACTTCCGGGCACGCCCCCGACCGCTTCCTTAAAGAGGCCGCACGCCAACGTCATTCTTAAAGCCATAGTCTCAGAGAGAAGGCCTTCAGAGTCAGCTCGCGTTGAGGCCCGGGCTGCCTCTCGTTCGCTAGAGGAGGCGGATCTCAGCAGCCAGGGAAGGTTCTTCTGATCGTTGGAGCCTCGGTCCCCTACCTGCAAGCGCCACCGGCCCTGTCTCTTACGAAGGCTAACTCCCTCCCCTCCGTTTATCCAAAGGTGCATTCGCTCCTGGTCCCCCCCCTCGCGGGACTGCGCTCTCCGCGCTCCCCATTCTTGGCACTGTTCCACGTCCCTCCAGGTCTAAAGACACCCCCATCCCTGCCAGCCCCCCAGCTCACTGTTCCCAAACCTCTTTACAGTTCCCTCCTTCCCCCACTGTCACCGCCTCAGACCCTCTCCCAACTCAGATTCCTAACAGCATTCTCAGACGCCCGAGGCCATACCGCCCCTAACATGTCTGCCCTGATCCCCCAATTCTAGCCCCCTGCGGTCGGGTCCGAGCCTGAATGCATCACCCTCTCCCCGGGTTGTCTCCACCTTGCAAAATCCTCCTCTTCACGCCAGGCCCAGCCGCAAGCTCCTGCCCGATGGCTGGCGTTCCCAGCAAGCGCAAGCGACCCCTCGCTCACTTCTCTGGTCGCTGACGGACTGTGGGCTCCCGCTGCCCTGACTGGCACCTGCGCAACACACCTACAGCGTCTCACCCAGTGCCGCGCCCTCGGGAGATGACTTCCTGTTCCCAGCCCTGGGCGCAGGCACAGCGCCAGCTCCGCTGCCAACTTCTCAGTGGGAGCCCGGGGGCGACTGAGGGGAGACCTAGGCCCAGCCTACCTTCAGCCCCCGGTTGTCCCGCTGGTCGCGAGAGCAGGTTCCTTCCTCTTTCCAAGGCTACCCCAACTTTGGGACCTCGCCCCAGTCAGCCCCACAATCCCCCGCTCCAGTTACCACGGCTTGCACATCTCAGGATCCCGCCGCATCCCCGGCCTGTCCCGCACCAGGCCTGAGCTTCCACAAGTGCGTGCGGGTAACGACTCTGCTTCTCCCTGTTCGCGGGGAGTGGAGTGTCCCCGCCCCCGCTCCCCGTTCCCCACTCCCAGGGACCCGCCTGGGAAGTCGGTGACCAGCCCGGGACCGCCACTTACCAGCAGGCACCAGGGCTGACTTCTCTCCCTGATTCCCGCTCAAGCACCAAGACTGGGCGGCTCAATTCTCCTGAGTTCTCTTTGTTGTAAAGCTAGGGGGCTGGACTATGCCCGTTGGTCTCAAACCCCTTACTCAGAATCCTAGCTAGTATGGTTCCGAGTAGGGGGTACTGGCTGTTTGTTCCATTTCAGACGCCATTTAATTAGTGCCACTTAATTGACTGGTAAGATGCCTGAGATTTGCTTTAAATACTCAGAATATTCACCAAAAAGAAAGGAGAAAGGTTGATGAAACAAGGTAGGCAAAGTGTTGATAACTTTTGAAGCTAGGCATGGGTATTGGGGCGGGGGTTATTGGTGTAAGAAGGTTTTACTCCTTAAGTAAAAGTTCCATAATAAAAACATAGAAACTGGGAACCAACTGTATGGGAAAACATATGTGCCAATGATACCTCAGACAAGGGTTTGATCTCAAAAATGTATAAAGAACTCACACGATCTACACCAGGAAGACAAAAAACCCAATTAAAAAAAGCGCAAAGGACTTGAACAGACACTTCTCCAAGGAGGGCATACTGAGGGCCCAGAGACATATGAAAGGATGCTCAGCATCACTAGTCATCAGAAAGATGCAAATTAAAGCCACAATGAGATACCACTTTACACAGGTCAGAATGGCCATCATAAACAAATCAACAAACAATAAGTGCTGGAGAGATTGTGGAGAAAAGGGGACCCTAGTGCACTGTTGGTGGGAATGCAGACTGGTGCAGCCACTGTGGAAAACAGTATAGAATTTCCTCAGATAACTAAAAATGGATCTGCCTTTTGACCTAGCAATTCCACTGCTAGGATTATATCCTAAGAACCCTGAAACACCAACCCAAAAGAACCTATGCATTGCAATGTTCACAGCAGCACAATTTAAAATAGGCAAATGCTGGGAGCAGCCTAGATGCCCATCGGTAAATGAGTGGATTAATAAACAATGGTACATTTATACGATGGAATACTACACGGTAGAAAGAAAGAAGGAGCTCCTATCCTTTACGGAAACCTGGATGGAACTGGAAAGCATTATGCTAAGTGAAGGAAGTTAAGCAGTGAAAGCCAAATACCATATGATCTCACCTATAAGTGGAACCTCATTAACAAAACAAACTGGGAAGCAAAATACAGCCAGAGACATTGAAATTGACAACAAACTGACATTAACCAGAGAAGAGGGGAGAGGGAAATAACCTAGGAAAGAAGGAAAAGGGACGAAAACGAACATGAATGAGGGACCTGTGAACTGAGCTGAGTGGGGTGGGATTGAGGGTGGGAGGTGGGCAGGGGAAAGTGGTGGTGGGAAAATGAAAACAACTGTGTTTGAACATCAATAAAAAAAGGGGGGGAGTAAAACCTATGGAGTACATTTAAAGTATCACACGCTGACTGTTTCCCACAGAAAACTGGAAGGGTTAGGGGAAATAAGCACCGTGCAGCAGCCCCAGGGCAGATGCAGAGTCCCCAGTGCCAGCTCTGCCCCAGGCCCTCTCCTCCTCCACCAGGCCTCTGGTCCTCATTCTGGGATGCTCACACCCTCCCTTCCTGCAGGGATGGGATGGCCTGCTTGCCAGTTACAGGCAGGCGGAGGATGCCTTCTGGTCACCTTGTCACCTTTGGGATCAAGTCATCCCTTTGGGGAATGAGAGACTTAAACAAACTGAGCTGGTCATCTGAACCTTATCTGGTGAATCCTGTTCCAGGGCCACACCTGGGGCCGTGGGATGGCTTTCCAGCGATGCCTGCTCCAGTCTCTTCTCCCTGAGGCCTGGCCTTTCACTGTGACACGCAACTGAGTGGCAAACAGGGGAATCTTGTCTTTTGAGAGGCCCTGGTTTCCTGGAAGGGCCCCTTCCTTTGTCATATCAGCAGGGATTAATTTTTCTGATGAGTGTGGGCCCCCAAGGAAGAGATGTACATTGTATACAGGCCAGAAGCCCTTCTCAGAGAGAGACCAGGGGCTGTTCCCTGCTGGGTACGAGGGGCATAGTCTGGGCTCTCTGGGGGCCACAGGACACCTGCATGTACGCTGGTCTCTAGTCTGCCCCTTACATTGTACCTGCAATTTCCCCATTAGCTGAATTCACTCCTTTGCATTAAAGTTGTGATAGGCTAACACAGTAAGTTCCACGGATTCCAGGTTTTTTTGTTCCTTATCAAGGAAAGGGGAGGTGGGGACGTTTCTTAGGGGTCTAAGGCCTCAAGGAGTTGTGCTTTCTGCACAAACTGTTTGCTTTTGGATTTAACTTAAGGAACGTTAATTGTTTACATTCATAAAGGGTGAAGTTTTAGTTTTTTGCAGAGAAATGGCCCAGCGTGTGTATAAGCTGTGGGGTGGGACAGGAGGTCATCACTGTGGAGGTGAGGGCTGTAGCGAGCCAGGCCTTGTAGGCGCAGCCCTATTGTCTGGCCTTGGCTGAGACCATGAAAAATGGCAGAAGAAGATGACTTCTGGAGACATAAGCAACCTCCCAGGTTTAGGAGACAGTGGTCTGAATCAGTAGGGCCTGAGAACTCCTGGAAACACAGGTGTTGACTGTCTGTCCCTGAGTTCAACAAGGACTCAGAAGCTAACTCTGTGTGGTGGACACTAGTAACTACCTACCAAAATTCAATCTCCCATTAGCCCAAATAACTGAAAGGTAGTCACATGGTTGCCCAGCCAGAGACTCTACTTCCCAGCCTGCCTTGTGGGTCACTAAGACATGTGACTCAGTGGTTGGGGAAGGGAGGTGATGTGTGTGCTGCTGTCCACATCCGGGCCTTAAAACCTTAGGCGTGTGCTCCTCCATGCTCTCTCCTCCTCTTCCCATAACCTGGGAGCCCAGTATATCTACAATGCAGCTGTGACCATGCAGACGAGGTCAATGTCATAGGGCTGTGGGAGCAACATGAGGGGAAGAGCCTGGATTCCTGACTGTGTGGTGCAGGGCCACCTGCCAGTGTGGCCTGCCTACCTTGGGACTGTTACATGAGAGAGAAGTCAACTTCTACTGTTCATGTCCCTGTGTGGTTACAGGGGGAGCTCTTTGTTATAGCAGCGAGGCCTTTACCCTTTTTGTTGCTTCTTTTTATTATATGTTCTGTCTTTAATGGAGGCCTGAGGTTCGGAAGGACAGCCCCGATTTTGTAAGCATGAGACAAAAGGAGGACAGCTAAAGATGGCAGAGCAGAAGCCTGGGGACAGCCTGAGTCCCTTGGAGCCTGGATGATCTGCCATTGGCAGGCCCAGGGTCTGAGGCAGCAATGCAGGGAATGTAATCACCAGGGAAGGAGCCCAAGCTGCAGAGCTGGAGGCAGGGTGGAGAACGTTGAAGGCAGGGCCCATGTTGCAGAGAAGGATTAGGAGTGGGTGAACCAGGGACAGGACTGGTAAATCCAGGGTCTGTTAAGAAAAAATAGTCCCAGTGTGGGGGAGTGGGTTCTGCAGGCAACAGTGGGAGTGCTGGAGAGGATTAGCAGAGGCTTGGCTCCTCTTTAGCAACAACATTTCCTGGAGACGTCACCTTTATGACTGGCCTGGCTTCTGTTCCACACCTAGTTTGGGTGGTGCAGGCTTTTTTTCCGCCAGGTCCAGAACAGCAAAAATGTCACTCCCCCAAATTCCTGGACCAGGCGTCTGAGTGATCACCAGGCAGGACCAGTTTGTCTCCAGATTAACTGCTCCTCTGTGGCGACTGAGAAGCAGTGTCAGCCCTGCTAGCGAGAGGCGGGATGCTTGGTGGGTGACAGGTGCATTGGCTTGGATAGTGTTCCTGCAAATTCAGCACGTGGCCTTATTTGGAAATAGGTTTTTGCAGATATAATTAGTTAAGTTAAAAAAAGTTCATACTGGGTTAAGGTGGAACCTGATTCCTATCTCCGATGTCCTTATGAGGCACAGAAATTTTCCCATAACCCCTCTGCCCCCACACATGCATAGCCTCCCTCATTATCAACACGCCCCCTCAGAGGGGTATATTTGTTAGAACTGATGAACCTGTACTCATAGGTCATTATAACTCAGTCCATAGTTTATATTAGGGGTATTCTAATCTCATTATTCTGTGAGCTTGGACAAATGTATAATGACATGTATTCACCGTTAG